ATTATATATATATGTATGAAAAATATTTGAAAATAGTATGAAATCGAAAGGCGCGGAACAAAAGGACTGCAATCCCTTTCAAAATAAACTTTGGATTAATTAGCCGACTGCTATGATTTGTAATTTGTTGGCGAAGAGCAACTTTTGTAACCCGTTTGCTTTGTACATCCTGTGCACTTTCCAGCTCTCTATACAAAATGGGATCACTTCTAATCGAAATTCAGAACATTCAGACAAACAAAAGCAATCAAAGTATCCGCATTTACTTACGACTAAGAGTAGATAGATACGTTTTATACATAAAGTGTCCGCTGCCGTCTGCATATTGCTAGAGGAAAAGCAAAAAAAAAGTAACTAGCAGCGGCTAACTTTGATCATCATCATCTCAATCAACTAAACGAAAGTGTGCTAAAAGTTTAGCGCTTTTCACGTTTCTTGACCGTGTCACGTTGAAATATTATTCTACTATCGGAGCTTGCTCCGATGTCTCCGATTGCGTCTGTTATTGTTGACAATGTTTCCCAGCGCTCGGCTGATGCCACAAGATATTGAGCACAAATTTGACGCATTAATGATTGGACAAAGTCGTTCGCCTGGTCTACGTCATGGTGTTTTCCATTTCGGATTACCATACTGTATTCGTTCTTTGTCATTCTTCGCTATTCAGCAGAACATCTTTTCCATCGAAAACGAGAAATCCCATGCTTCTGGCAATTGTCGTCCTCTTGATCGTATAATACGAACTTCATTATCGACACCGTGAATATTATAGAGAGTAAGGCCTAAATATAGTATTAGTTGTATTCATATAGTGGAAGTAGTAGACAAGGTATTCTCCAGTAAGTTACAGTAGCAGTAGTAATAAAGTCAAAAACTTAATTATGCTTCCAATAAATAAAACACTTACGCTAATTAACACATATGGCAGTAAATATCTCCGAATATATATATATTTTCCTTTTACACTTTGAAGTCTTTCGATACTCGATCTTGTTATTCTACTAATCAAGATGTCATTCAAAGTCGCCCAGACGACTAGAAAAATGGAGAAATATCGATATAATTTCACAAATAATTTCGTTTATAGTCTAGGAACGATAAGAGACATCAATCCGATATTAAATATAACCGAACATTACCGTAAGACATTTAAAAGATGACGGAGTACAGAAATTGTTCATTACGACGAAGGTTTTCTTAAGCATGAGCCGAATTTTATTAGTTGTTTTACTTATGAGTTACGTACGTGTGGTTAAAATTATAAAAAAAATGATTCGGTCTTTTTATGTCGTTGGCGATGATACGCTTTTACACCTACTTACGGCTCTCTGTTAGTTAAACAATTTTAACAAATTTACACTGCTTTCACGTTAGAAATATTTTAACAATTTTTTTTTTTTATGTAACACAATAACACAATAAGTCAAATACGATGACAGAAAGATGTTGTTGTTGTATTATTGACAACTTCGTATAAATGCAATTGTTTTAGTGTCACGAAACAACTAATGATCGGAATGCCATGAAATTTTGAATCATTTCGTTTCAACGTTGAATACCCTCTAGAAGGCAACAATCATTCTGGATAGCTATTGAGTGGATACGCTATGCCGAAATAAAGTGCAGGAAAGAGGAAAATCGCTCCTTTAGTAAATGAAAATTTTTAAATCTTTTTTTTTTTTTTTTGTAAATAAGAAAATTTTAGAATGACTTTGTTCAAAAATATAACGGAATTTTTCATTTAATTTTGAATATCATAATAAAATTTCTATTACAAGTTGTTGCTGGCAAATTTATTAAGTAAATCTATATTCGAATGGATTTATAAAACGTAATTGCTTGTGAGGAGGAATAACGGGGTTTTATGTAAATGAATCAGTGGCACAATCCAACGTTTATATACTCATACATATGATGAGAAAGTTCACATCAAAGGAAATTAAAACGCGACATATATGTAATGTTTTTCTGCTTATGATGGTGTTAGTCCAGAAATGTTGCTTCCAGAGACTCAAACAGCTCATAAAGACTATTATCAAAGCGTAAGAAGCAATCAAAATTATGATAAAATATCTTTGCTTACTGCAATCAATAGTGGGTCATTTTTCCAATAAATCTCATACTTATCCCACGCCGTAAGCACACAATGCGTCTACCCACCTAAAATGGCTCTCAGTGATTACTCTCTTTTACTCACGATTAAAGCAATCACATCGTGGTACTCGCTTTCAATCAATACAACTACTAAGTAGCACTCTCAAGCTGCTTTATGGGCTGAAATGTACTAGAAATTTAAATAACAGATCGAATGGCATTAAAATTTCGTCAGACAACAGTTGAACCAATTCTTCAAAGAAGAAAAAAAAAAAATTATTTACTTTTATATCTGAAGGGCGAGAGCGATTTCCCTTCAAATTTTGATCATAGTCTTAAATGAGCACAACTGTACTTTCAGCTATCACATAGGCCAGTCAACGTTCACAAGACTCGTGTGCACGCACTCAATAGAGATTGAATTCAGAGTAATTTCTATATGCATGTAATACTCTGGGCCATGCTCTTATCGCATAGTGCGGGATGTGTAGAAAATCGCGAATTTTGCGAGGATATGAATAAATACCTTCGGTTGCAAAGATTACGTGGATCGAATGTGACAATGAGCTCGTAAGGAAGCTTTTAGGCATTTTACATGATGTCAGGATTAATCTATTAAGTAAAGCACTATCTTTTGGTCTTACGCTACTGTTCGTGTGAACTGATCGATATATATATAAATAAAGTATTTTTAAATATTAAATAGATTGAATTGTGAATCAAGCAAGAACAAGCGATAAACGAGATGCATTATGTTTCCTGCTTAATTCAAAGAATCGTAGAAAGTCATCAACCTCTAGCGTAAGCCTACGGTGATTTATACAGTACCGATAAAAGTACGATCAAGTATTGAGTCCGACACTTTTATTCATTTCCAAAAAAATCTGAATGCGATTTCACAAAGTTTGATGATAAAAAAATTGTAATAATTGCTGCAATTGTTGCAAGGGTAAAGGAACAAATCAAAGACCAAGAAATTTGATCTAATAAAATAATTCGCATGTGAAACTGTACTCAAAAGCCAAAAAATCCCGATGTTGTCAAAATAGGATTTTGCTCTCGCATGATCTTGACAGTATCGTCGTTGATCAAACATATGGACTGCAAACAATGTTAAGTTAAACAAATAAGAAAATTATATTCGGCAGCAAACGAATCAATCGTGGCATACATGGTGCCTGAGGCATCTTTCGGGGCGCTGCGAACGCTCACAAAAAAATAATGAAACTTTAATATCCTGTATTATTGAGCAGGCGTGGCCGATTTTAATGCACACTAATATCGGTCTATCTGTGTTACGTTTTATGAGTAACGAGCAAAAAACCAATTTTTCCTTTACTTTTTGAAAGCGGGGGTGGCGCCAGGTTACATGGTACCGTGATCGGGTCTTTTCACTGATTTGGCTCAATTTCAATATCAATCTGCGTGCAAGAACTTCCACCTTTTTTTTTTGCTAAATTTAAAGCTGATTGCTGCACGCTTGCGACCAAAAGTTTCCACAGGCAATATACGGACAGACAGAGAGATGGACAAGCGGACGTGGCTAAATCGGTTCAAAATTTGATGTTGATCAAAAATATGTAAGGCCTGTGAGAATACTTCTCGTTATTGCAAACGCTTGCTTGAAAAATGAATCATCTTCGGGGATAGGTATAAAAATGTTTTTCAAAATTCCTATGGAAAAGAATGATAATTGTGTGAAAAATTATGTTTCAAGAAAAATCGCATTTAAAGCTTTGAGCTTGAATTTCTTTAATTTCAATACGTATTTTAGTTTTTTTATTCATTACCTTGTAATCCCAGGAACGTATAGCTGGTGTTCCAAGTCCAAATATTCTTCTACATTACATGCTTGTTTTGCTGCATCTGTTAAGGACAGAACGTCACGCTTTACACTCCACATATTGCCAAATCACAGAGGAAATGGAGAGAAAGTTCATATTTCTATAGCGGAACTTATTATTAAAGAAAGAAGCATTGACTCTTTCCGAATCACTCACTCTCAGCCTCATATCTATTAAACGGTCCTCCCGATAACACTTTGTCCGACAGCATTGCATACAATTTTCTCTTTTCTCTTCACTC